TCGGGACTCATTAGGATTATTAGAAAAAAATCAACCACATTTTTAACCCGACTTCTTTTTTTATAATAGTAGAGATAGAGATAATGTAGAAACCAACCAAAAAAGATACAACGGTTCCATTAATTACATGGTTATTTGCAGTAAGTATGAGTATCCGACACCAAGCACTCCACACAAATTAAGAAAGAAACTTCCTAAATTTGCTTGTCGTGGGGGACACGTATCTCCGGTACAACAGGGAGTCCGATACGTTCTGGTTCTTAATAAACACGTTTTCTTAATGACGAAAGTATGAATTACGAAACATTCATATTTGCCTATTCGAGGATTAGAATTTAGAAATCTAGAACAGGACGTCTCCATGTTTTCGAAAAAACAAGAGAGGGTATAATCGTCCACACACTATATCTTTCCGAAACCCGCAACGTACAACATAACCCTCGTAGCTTCAACGCTGACTAAAGCATCCTTTAAACTCGTAAGCAAGACTCGAATCGAGGAAGAAAAAAAATACAGTAGAAAAATCAAAAGCTAGGGTTAGGGTTAGGGTTTCAGAGATCGTTAGAGATGCCGAAGAACAAGGGAAAGGGAGGTAAGAACCGCAAAAGAGGGAAGAACGAAGCAGACGACGAGAAGAGAGAGCTCGTATTCAAAGAAGACGGCCAGGAATACGCTCAGGTCCTCCGAATGCTCGGAAATGGCAGATGCGAAGCCATGTGCATAGACGGAACCAAGAGGCTCTGCCACATTCGAGGTAAGATGCACAAGAAGGTATGGATTGCTGCCGGAGACATCATCTTGGTCGGACTGAGGGATTATCAAGACGACAAGGCCGATGTGATCCTCAAGTATATGCCTGACGAGGCTCGGCTTTTGAAGGCATATGGTGAGTTGCCTGAGAATACGAGGCTCAACGAGGGTATCTCAGCTGGCCTCGATGAGGAGGACGATGGTGCTGCCGACGATTACATCGAGTTTGAGGACGAGGATATTGATAAGATCTAGGGTCTGTGTTTTTGTTTGTTCCAATTCTCGATCTATTGTTTTCATGGTTGAGTTCTTATGAGGGTTTTGTTGTATGTAGTATTAAGTCTAGCGGATTTAGAATGGGATATACGGTTTATAAATTAGGGCTTTTTTTGATGAACAATTTCTTGTGTTGTTAATTCAGTGGAAGTTTGATCGAATAGAATTGTTGCAGTAATCAAACAGCCCATACTTATTCTGCTAACAGACCATCTGTTGCTCTAACTTTAACTTGTATGATTTTCTGATATGGGTTTTAGGGTAATGTAATAGTTTTTGTACTTTCTCTTCTTTATTCCTCCTATTTTTTTGCTGGGATGTGATAGTTTTAGTACTTTCTCTTCTTTATTCCTCCAATTTTTTGCTGGGATGTGATTTGTCTTTGTGTAAAGATAGTAAACATTTGTTCTATCTAAATGGAATCCCTTTGTTCTTAAACTCTTGTGAAAAAACAGAATGGATTAGATATGGGTGTCTTCCTTCACCCTATCCTTTGCTTTTCCTGGGTTTATTTTTCTTCATGAACAGTTACCCTTTTTTAGCAACTGAAGTGCTTTTTGGTTCCTGATATCCTTGTTGAAAAGCAGGAAAATTGTGTTTTGGAGATCTTAAGACATGCTTTTGGGAAACTTGATTCCTTGATCAAAGGATCTCTGTTAATTATCTGTCATCTTTGTTTCCCTATTTTTGTTGGGGGTTATTTTGATTGTCAGTATGCATATTCAGTCTGCTAGCTCTGTGTTGTAAGGAGATCCCATTGCTTTGATGTGGTGGCTGCTGTAGTTTGATAGGCATATAGTTGAGGCTGTGGATGAATCTTATTAGGCAACAGGGACATTGACGAGTATGGTGGGTTCGTCTAGAAATAGTGTTGAATGGAATAATTGTGGAAGTGGGGGTTTATTTGGTGATGGCTTCACTCTTCTTGAGTTGCAGTCCTTTGTTTGTGAGTATAATAATATGACTGGTTTATCTTGTTCTAAGAACATGTGGAGAAGTAGGCTGAACTTGGTTTGTGAAGCTGTGTGGCTCAATGAGCAGGTTGGAAGTTGAATTCTCATTGATGCATTTGATTGAGGTTGACAATGGTTTTGGGATATAATTGATTTTTACAAATATAAGGGTACAAGCAGGAATGATAGAAGTTCAATGAACCCAACTTGGTACTAAACGAGATCTTGGAATCGGTGACATTTTAAATTTGAGAACAATTATTCAGTTAGTTTATCCTTGGAGGCTAGAAGATGAGTTAGAATGAGAATACCATTTATGAGGTGCAATTTTAAGACTATTGAGAAGGTTATCCTAGGAACTAGAAGATGACCGAGACAAGGAAGGTAGTTCCAAAGTTCCAAGAAAGAAGGTCATTTTATGAACTCCAATATAGTGGTAGAAGCTTTGCTCGTGGTTGTCTAAATCTAATGTTGAAGCGTGTCTATATAAGTTCGGTGGCTCACAACTAATCATATATTAATAACTCAAGCTTTTAGCTTCATTTAGCATCTTGTAGATTAAAATAGATAGTATAGTTTAGACAATTGGTGGAGAGGTTAGAAGAGGGAGGAATCTTCACATTTTACTCAAAAGCACAGCTAGGGAAGTAATCTTGTTGATATTAAGAAATGAGTAGCAAGTGGATAATCTACATCATTAAGGACGTGTATGAGTGAGAAATATTGTGGGAAACAAATGGACAGACTGGATTAGTTTTGGTTAAAGTGGGTTTACTCATTGTAAATCCTTATCTTTTTCACTTTTTGAACTTGTTATAGATGATCTAGCTTCTCATATGAGCTTAGGTTTTGCTGGTATGTGTGGTTTGCAGATGAACATGGTGTTGATTAACAAGACTTGAGGGGGTGAATCCAAAACTAGATGAATTAGTCTACGTACACTCCCAAATATACTACCTAATCTAAACCTTTTAACTCAATTATTAAACAGTCAGGATTAAGAGTTGATGTAGCATTAGAAAAGACAAAATAAGCAAGTCAAATCTCGGCCCTTAGTAGTTAGTTATAAACGGTTAGGATTAGGAAGTAATTATAGACCGACTCAAACTAGATTTGTGAAGTGTGTTTTAGAGTCTAGAGGGTTTCAAAATAGGTAAGACTGAGTTAGAATGTTTAAGGTATAAATCTAATTATGACATGTATAGGTATGAAATTTTAGTTAAGATATATGGTCTAGAGGCAACCAAAGGCTATCAGTTCTGTTTCAATTATACACTAAGGAGTTGGAGATTGGGATGGTGTTCCAATAAAAATTATGAGTGGGGAGAGGTAATGGCTTCTGGGTTGGGTAGGGCAGGGGTAAAATCTCATGTAAATTTGCTTGAGAGAAAAAAGGGTGGTCGAGACTTGAGAGAGAATTAGATATGGGACCTAATGAGCACTCCTTGTATTTGTGTGTAAGGGGGGTTATTAGTAATTTTCCCTTTATGATGTATTACAAGGTCCATATTCGAATCATCGGAAGGATTGACTTCTTTCTCATCCACTTTCTCCATTTTTTTTGAACAAGGGGTAGGAGATTTAGCAATTTTTCCTTCTTCATGTAAAGTATAACAAGTTCTAATTTTGAATGGTTTCTCATTCACTTCTATCTTTTTTGAACAAGACAAAAAATGTGCCAGTTTTTTGAGTTCTTAGCTTTTTTTTTTTTGGTTTAAAAAATGAAAAAGTGTATAAGAGTATTTACATATCAAGCGGCGATCTTGCATCAAGCGACTTGAGCGGAGCTCCCCTTTTAGTGTAAACTTGCTGGCAATCTTGTAATTATTGTGAGAAATTTCTTTTAAAAAATTGCCACTATCTCTCCATTATTACAAGATTGCAAGGGGAGTTCTGGTCAAGGCGCTAAAGCTCTGCCTCGTATTGACAATCTTTAACAAACTCCTAAGAGAACTATTTTCTTGACTTCCCAATTCACAATTCCACTTCAGCTGGCGTAAAAAGCTAATATCTCAGCACACTACCTGTTGGGCATGCTTTCCTCTTTAATTTTTTCTTCCGTTGTCATTCAGAGTTGTTTAATGTAGCTGACTTCTTGCAATTAGGTCTGCACGTGGCCCACGTTTGGGCTTGACTTTTGTTTTTTTTAACCTGAAGTCCGACACATTTACAAAAGGCCGTACTCGGCCCCATGTGCAGCCCTACATGCAATAGAGCATCCCATGTGACTGCTGTTTAGTTTAAATGGTATCTCCATTACAAAAGAAAGAAAAAGCAATAGCTACTAGCTAGCACGCAAAATTCAGAAAAGAGTAAAGATCTGTCATCTCTAATTCTAAACCGAGTAGCTGAGCGCCAAGCCTAAAGGAGTATACCCATGTTCTTTTTCGAGCTAGGGTTTGGGAAATTCAGAAGCTCAAATCTATACCATAAAAAAAAGACTTTCCTCTTTGATCTCCAAACTCTAATCCCTGAAATTCTAGACCCGTGCATCTTATTGGGTCTGCTAGTAAATAATGAACAAATTCTAGCTTGATTGGCAATGCACCAGATTGCAATGCAATAAAAGAAGCAGTAGAACAGATTTGACCAAATGGAGAATGCATGTTTGAGCCCTAACCGGATGACTTTCTTGAGAAATCAAATCACAGCCAATTGTGATTGAACACAGGGAGAGTTCAAACTCACTCACAGGTCAACACGTGTCCCTATTTTAACCCTTAGGATTAATAGTTTTTAAAACATTTTTTTCTAAATTCCAAGGTGAGATTATTAAACCATAGGATTTTAACCCTTAGGATTAACATTTTTTTCAAAATCTAAGGTGAGATTATTAAATCCTAAATGCTATGTTTGGTTACTAAGAAAATAAGTGAAAACATGGAAAAAAAAAAAATTTGAGTTTCTAATACAACTTTTAATTGTGTTTTCTTCATTTTTTTCCTTTTTCTTTTCCATATTTTTACTTATTTTCTTTGCAATCATTATTAAACCCGGTTAGTAAAATAGTCAAAACGTAGCTGGGTTGAGAGAGGCTCGAACTCTCGACCTCAGGATAACTCTTATTTAGAAGCTATGAGACCTACGCGCTAGCCAACTGCGCCACCAACCCTTGTTGTTATCTAGGTTTTTAACTATTTTATAATTCTGCTTTATTCACATCACATACATAACTAAATTGGAGATTGGATCACAGCCAATCGCAATTGAATTCAGGGAGAGTTCACATCACACCCACAGGTCAACACGTGTCCTTTTAACACCTATTAACCATGGTTAAGATTCAATAACCCTTAGGATTCAACGACCAAACCTTGGTTTTAATTAAAAAAAACTATAACCTAGGGTTAGAATTTTAGCCTTAAGAGTTAATTTTTATCCTAATAACCAAGATGAGATTGTTAAACCCTAAGGATTAATGTCTTAACCACTGTCTTGGCTTGAATGGAATTAGGGCTTCAAAAATGTTTTTAGATTTTTTGCTAGTTCCATGTTTTGATTGGGTGGTGCAATCCAATCTCTTTAATTATTTGGATTCCGATCGTATCTACATACTATAATTATTCGGGTTGCTAACACGTGTTGACCTACGGGTGCGATTGAACTCAGGGAGAGTCAAATGTATGGCATGGGATTTACGCTCCAAAGTTACAATGGCATCCCTGAGAAGTGAGAACTCAATTGCAAAATGTCGTTACAAGGAACAAGCTGGTTGATACAAGATTAAAGGGAAACAGATAGAACAGCGTTTACATTATAGGATCCAAGTGCCTCTTCTACAGCAGATCCAGAGACACATTTTGAATAAATGATCTGAACTAGATGTAAAACACATTTGTCGCCCAATTCATATGTGGCTCTATTCAGTTCCAGCTATCTTCTTCTTCAATGCTTCAATATCCGTGGCTAGTTCTTTTCTGCTTGACTGAGGAAACAAGTGTATTTGTTAGCAACAAGTGGTTTGTAATAACAATATAGGCATTTATTTGACCTTTAAAAAAAAAGTCAAAATAATACTTGAAACCCAATAAGTGAATTTTGTATAAACTCACAAGCTATCCTATCGAGGTCGGTTTTCTGATTCTGAAACAGTGGATTCTGCACGGTGTCTAAATCATTTCGGCACAAGGGACCGGAATTTGTTTCCATGTCTGTTGTTGAAATGCCATTTGGTAAATGGTCCTGGAATGCATCAGCGATATAACATCGCAAATTCTAAATATACTAAGGAAAATATTCACCTCCTCGGTCCGAGGAGGTGAATTACCGTCTCAGCCCCCTTTTTTACTCCCTTTAACTGTGGCAAAGGATCTAACAATGATTTTTAGAACGAAAAAAAAATAACCACAGATGTTAAAAATTGTTAACCATAGTTTGAAAGGGCTTTGTGAGGGCGAGGAGGAATAGTCCCCTTGGCCGAGGAGGGGACTATTGCTCATATACTAAACATGGCCGCTAAATGCATTAAGGTGATGCATGTAAGGCAATGTTTATCCCTATTACCCATCAGTATATCCAACACAGATCATATTCTACAACAAATAATCCATGTCCATAAAAAGAAATTTGGATCTGACGCACGTGAATCTACTATGTACAGTTCTTCAGATTTTACCTTAAAGAGAAGGTATCGGTAGACAAACCACCCAGTATATCCAAGCCCTACCAACTCCAAGATCTTTGGAAGCTGTTAAATAAGAGAGGAACCCAATTCAGAATGGTTAAAGATAATTACAGGAAGAAACTATATTCGTTTAGAGGAATTTTATTGTGCCAAGCCATCAAAGACTGGAGAAGCATCCATCTCCTTAATTAATTACAACTGAAGAAACAGAAGTGTGTACTTAATCAGATCACCTACCAAAGGGACCGAGTTGATGGCACCGACAATGATGGAAGATAGCCAAACTGCAACTATTGCCCCACCTCCATAGGTAAGTACTGCCGACTTGTTTTCAAGTGCATCCCACTATCATTGGTAACAGACAGAAATAGGTTTAGAGTTAACCATGATAATAATCAAATGAGGAAAATTAGGTATGAATGCCTGGACAATCAGATCCGAGACCATATAGCCAGACATAACCATGTCTTGTCTTGTATCGATGGTGACCGATTGTGCCCGGCTGGCCCGACATACTGACAATTATATAATACTGTAGATTCAAGATGATATGGAAGGCTCTCACCTTCTCCTTTAAGTCGGCTACTATATCTCCATCTTGAACAGAACCAGATGTATCTTCTGAAGAAGAAGCTCTGATCTGGAGTGTAGAAAACCTGCGGGACTCTGTTTGAAAGAGAAACAAGTAATATATTATGCTTACAGTTCTGAAATCAAGATTCCTGATTTACCCATCCAAAGAAAAAAGCTTGCAATATAATGGCAATGTTCTAAGCTCCATATTTCAACATCCGATGGATTCTAAAAGGAACGTCTTTGTGAGATCTTCTCAGGGCTCCATTATTATTATTATGAATCAAGAATTTGTGATGGTTGATGAATACCCCACATGTATTTATGTTTGAATTGGCAAACCAATGATTTTTTTTTTAAATGACATCAAACACAGTTTTACAAAAAAAAAACTACGTCTATTATTGTGAGCTGCCAAACAGTTTTACTATCTACATATATATTTTTGCCACATATCTATTTTCACAAGATCTGCCCGAAATAGACAAGATCTACCAACGAGCCCTTAGCAAGACAATTTTTTAAGCGTCAGCTCATGTAAAAGGATAACTCTATTGCATATGGTGAAGGAAATGAGCTCCCATTGTTCTTTTGATTTGAAAGGAGAGTAACACTACTTTTACCACGAGAAAAATAAGGAAACAAAAAGGACAAGCCCATACTCAATGCAACACTTTCTATAACATGATGAACATGGTTGCTGAAGCATGAAGAAGAAACTCCAAACTATGAAGACTTTGTTCAACTCCCTAGAGATGGAGATTCTTGATTAGTCAAAAGAGTTTCATCAAGGTTCCGTTCATGTCTGAAACGGGGACCAATCAAAGGGAATCTTAAAGACTTACACCGTTATTCCACAGCTTTGGCCTCACAATTGTCCTTCCAACAATAACCAGCTATGCTACGAGATATGATTCACTTTATATTCAAAAAAATTGCTTAAGATTCCAGCAGACCCTGTGTTCCTTCAAAACTTTAATCAACACTCAGCTTAAGGCAATGCCAATTATGCCATGAGCCTAACAGGAGATAAGCTCTGATAAATTGGTTGAAATTTTAAACTCTAGCTATCGTAAATTGAACATTAGAGTACAAGGTTTTTTTTTTCGTTAGCAGGGTTAGTATCTGTTCTAGGTTAGGAAATGGTGGAGTTTTCAACCACGCACACCCTCACGGAATTGGATCCCGGACCAAATGAGTGGTGCTATGAACACACTACCAATGTGGGAAACATCACTTCCCAAGTACTGATTAATTGACTTCATCTATACAAGTAATTAGCACTATGAACTCCCAAGAACTCTGGAAGGGATGTTGACAACCTAAATAGGACCCACTAAATGGAGGGACACAAATTCGGTAAGGACAACTTGGAATTCTCAAAGATCCTACTGTTCCTCTCCTTCTAGATTTCCCTGCATACTGCAACCGACATCATGTCCCAAAGACAGTTACCCTTCTTGTTGAGCCCATCTTCAGGCCAAGCAAAGAAGATGTCTTCCACTTCCTTGAGGGGACCGGAGAGACCCTAAATAATGAGAAGACGAAACACTAGATAATCCAAGACGTTTGAGAGTGGACTGACGAATCGTTGTGTGATGTGCTTGGCAGTCGAGGAATTGGTAGATCATTTGCTTTTACATTGCCCTTCTTTGTCTGACCTCTGGGACTATTTCTATCCCTACTTGGAGTCACGGACATGGCTTCTTATCTTTTTTTCTTTCAGCCTCGCTGGGACCTCAACTGGATTTCCTATGGCTCTCCTTCCGGGAGTCATCTCTTGGTCCATCTAGAAAGAGAGAAGTAGATGTATTTTTTAGGATACCTTGCTACCAAAAACTAAGTCAATCGGGTGCACAAACTGCCATTTGATTGGATATCAACTAGGGATGATTTTGAGGAGTTAGGGTCTCAATCTCTTTCCTTAATTTTTGTGTTTGCTGTATGAGATGTGGAGCATTGATTAGGGTGTTTATTTTGCTTTTGCTGTTTTCTGTTGATTTTGTTCTTTTTAGGTTCAACTTTTTGTGAATCTTTGTGTATTGTTGTTTTTCTCTTCTTATCCTCATTCTTGATTCATAAAAATTTTTTTTTAAAAAAGTGGGACAGTGGATCAAAAGATTGCTCGCAGTTTCCTAAGCTCCTTCGCACACAAAACATTTACTTGGAATAGTCATGCCCTGAATTTCCTGAAAATTATGGTTTTAGCCATTTCTCGCCGTACATCTCACCCTCGGAAGCCTATCCCAAGAGGAAATTCCACTGGAGGGTTAAAATGAGCTTTTAGTTGGAAGAACTGTAGTTTAAATGTAATTAGTCTCTTGTTTCCATTGAGTAGCTAGCAAATGCCTTCATCCCGGTCAAAATCAAATCTCTCCCACCACACCCATTATGAATTATTGCTTCCCAAATCCCAAGCAAAGCTTTTGAAATCAGAAACAATCGAAATATATTCTATTTACACGATTATTTTGCAAAATGGGGAATTACCCAAATCATAAATTTGTTCTGCAATCCAATTTAAGCTGTATAATTTCTTTTTCTTTCTAATGAAACAACACAAACTTGTAAAACAAGTTAAACAAGAAATTCCAGTAGAGCTCATTCATCTGATCGAATGCGAATGCTTATGCGATTAGTTGAGCTAAATCATCCAAAACAAAACTAAAACTTTTTCTCCTTTTACCTACGACATCCTTCTACTATATGCTCGATGAATTGCCACAAAGAAAGAAAAGATGAAAAGAATAGTACCCGATAACTGTTTGAAAGAAGTAGCGAAAGATGGAAACGAAGAGCGTGGTGGGAGATAAGGCGGCGCGGAGCGGCGTGAGGTTGTGATTGTCGGGAAACGCGGCCCCAACACGGCTGCCGCCATAGAAGAAGCGCTTGCTGCGTAAGCTGTTGCCATGGAC